CAGAATCTTATTCTCACATTAATTAGAATAATTACCTTGTTTACTACACCTATAACACTTGACAGGAGCGGGAGCTCTTTCCCCACTTGTCTTCTTCCCAATGGAAACCTTATGTTTCCCTTTATTAGCTGGGGCATCATAAGGCTTCCTACGGTCCTGATACTATTTTTCTCTCTTCTCATCCAGACTCTTGTAGTGATCCGAATGAGCTTTGCTATCCTCTTCAAAGATTCTACAGATATTCACCAACTTTGGAAACCTACGGATCTGCTGATATCCAATTGCCCATTTGATTTCCGGATGCAAACAACTCTCAAACTTGATACACTTTGAGAATTCAGCAGTTGCTTCACTATAATGTAGATAATACTTTACCAGCTCCACAAACCTTGAAGCTTACTCAGTTACCGACAGACTCCCTTGTTTCAACTCAAGGAATTCTATCTCTTTATTATCACATACATCTTCAGGAAAACACTTTCTCAGAAACTTTTTACTGAACACAACCAAAGTAACATCTTCACCCACCGCAACCAATCTCTGACGCTTGCCAACCCACCAGTCACCGACTTCTTCTGCCATTATATGCGTACTAAATTGCACATTCTGTGCCTCTGAACAATCCATGACTCGTAAGATCCTCTCAATCTCCTTAAGCCAAGTTTGCGCTCCATCAGGATCATGCCCACCCTTAAAAGTAAGCAGATGGTTCCTCTAAAACGTCTCTAATACACGGGATCCATCATTTGCACCATCATTAGGTTGATGTTGCACAACCTGAGCCATATCCTGCAAAGCAGCAGCAATCACATCATCGTTTCTTCCATCCATTCTACACACGGAAAACTAATCATCGGAAAACAACGTATCGATAATGTTCTTAAACTAATCGGCCGACAAGACATGCATATCATAAGAAAACCTGGTCAGACGGACCGATCTGCTCTGATACCAATAATGTAACACCCTTCTAAACCCACATACATTTCATATATGTTTTACAAAATTAAATCAAATAAAATCACCAACAAGGGTGTCACATATTCATAAAACATCATATAAAAATCCTACTCCATAACACGGGTTTTCAAAACATCTAAAACAACTAATTCTTTAATATCATCAAATATCAAAAATTCAGATTATTGTAGCGGAATCATATTCTCAAAACATTTTTATTAAAAATACTTCATAGAGTCTTCCTCGGGCTTCATCGTTCATGATTCATAAATCAAACAACTAAATACCATGAAAGATAACTCATCATCTCAAAATAAGCAAGAGAGCATAATAGTTTCAAAATAAACGTTCCCAACCACGATGTTACATATAAGAGCAAGACCTTCTAAAATCAACAGAAATAAACAATGCACTCTGAAGCTAATTCTCTAAGCTTCAATGCATTAACCCTGATCACCTGTAAGTTATCCACGTATAGAGTTAACATTTCCATGAAGAAAGGGTGACTAATCATAATCATTATAAAATACACAAGGAATAGATATAGTAGTTACAACATAATAGTAAAACATCACACACCATCAAAACTTCGTGTTATACTCACACCTTCACTTAATTATTTATTCATAGCATTATCATATCATCAGTCAACAATCATCACCAAGACATCATTAGTTCACATATTCACAAAATATCTCTTAACCATCATTATGCAATGCCACAAAGAATATAATGTAACTTCATTAGACCCATGCATGTGGTACTAAAACATCACTGATGACTCAGACATCGTTTCTCCAAAGATGCCCACCAATAGGATCAGTTTCCCCTTGTAACCAAAGTACATAACAAAATTGCACTCAAATCCAGACTATGGGATTTAGGCCATCATTGGATTAATCGTCCTATAAACTTCACTAGATTGGAGTCCTAACAAAATCAGTGGACCGAAGTCCTAATCATACGCCATGAATGCATGATGCACAACAACACAGTAAAACATGACCACGGCTATTCAAAATGCATCATCCCTCATGAATTCATAATAATATCATCATAAACTTCATCATACACACATCCTCATAACAACATCAATACATCATAGAATACAAGTCAAGTTACAACAAGACATGGTTACATCACTTCATAATAGAAAACACACATACTGTCATATCAATACGTAATCTTATCATAACACAATCACTAGAGAAATACATCTATGGTTCATTTTATTCCACCAAAGCATAGTTTATTGTGTTAGCTTTCTAATGCTTTGAATGGCGTGTCAAACGTAGTTCAAAAACTCAAGTTACGATCTGTCAAAGTTTCTATCAAACACCCCTCGCCTGAGGCTCGCCCCGGCGAAGCTACATGATCGCCCGGGGCTCGCCCGAAGAGGATGAGGAGAAAAGCTTTCCCCTATACAAATCTAGGAGCGTTATTTTTCATCAGTCACCCTCGCCCGACAAAGTTATTCGCTCGCCCTACGAGCTCCTCTCGCTGCCACTTCGCCCGACGAAGCTGGGGCAAGTCACCCTCTCCAAGGGCTCTGTTTTTCACCCCTTCCCTTCTCCTCTTACTCTCTTGGCGCTTCTAGGGATAAGCTAACTCGCCTGACGAAGCATATAGCTCACCCGGCGATGCAACGCGAACAAGGAATTCCCTGTGCATTTTCTGCACTGTACCAGTCCCAATTTTCTTACGATTTCAACACATAACATGTTCCAATTTATCAGGGATACTCATGTTTTCATCATACAATACCAACACATCATATTATACATCATACACATCAATTCATTGTAAAACAATATCACAATTTCACCAATTCTCATCAAATCATTATGTTAACATCATCAATCCAAATTCCAACACAAACCTACAATTATCTAAGCCCTATATCGATCATAATAACAATGATAAACTCCTCTTACATTAGATTCCTAGCAGTAATTTGATCTCTTCCCGCGTTCCACAGAACCCTCTGAGTTTCTCAGTGCCCTAGCTCTCTTCACAACGTTCTTCTCACTTTTACGATCGCAAAATGAACACTGACACTCAGTTTTCTTTGTTTAACTCTTGGATCCTTTCTATGGTCTTCCCATTTTACTCTCTCTTATTTCACAATATCACTACTTTGTCCTCATAGTCTCTACCTCTTATTATTTTATTTATTTAATTAATAATAATTCTAAATAATCAAAACTAATTATCTAAAATTACTAAAATACTCAATATCACTTAATTCTCACTATACTACACAACATAACATCATATACATCAAAACATCACATATACTCATAGATACATCACAAATACTCATAATATTCACAATTAAATAATTAAATGAATAATCTAATTATTTTGAAGTATTACATAAGACACAAAGAGCATCCAACATTATTGTGTTAACTACGAACCTTATTGAAGAGTGACTTCAAGCAAAACAAATGGCATCAAAATTCCATTAGCTGTTTTATTTAACTTTGTTGATTTAGTTATTTCTCTCCAATTTTATTTAGGTTAAATATCCCTAGTACTCAATTTTAATACAATCGCCTGTTTTCCAAAAACAAAAATGTCTTAAATGTGCAATAACCTATTATGATGTTAGTTTCAAGTTAATAATAGTATTAATATTAATAGTAGTATTCTCTCAATCTCCTCGTTCATCAATCTTAGTTTTCTCTTTTTCTCCATCCGCTAAAAGGGTAATTTTAAGGTTAATTTTTGATTTAAAATCATTCCACTAAAAAAAATTTCTTTCTTTTTTATTCAAATAAGTGATTTTACGTATATTTTTAATTTTATTCTTTGTGATTTCGTTTTCTTAATGCGACGTTGTGTTTGTCGTCGTCTTTTTGCGGTGTTATTTTGTTTTCTCCTCTTGATGCAGTATTTGTTTGGTTCAGATTAATAAATTAATTTTGACTCAATGCATATTCAATCAATAACTTTGACGTCTTCCACACTACAGACTCTGGGACATGAGTATTTCGAGCATTTCAATTTTATCATATTTGTATGCTTTGTCACATTTAGTCATTTTGCTGTTATATGTTATTAATGTGGATACGGTTCGAAGACTCATCTTTTTCAGTTTATCGCAATTTTGATTTTGTATTATTCGATGTATTCAATCAATTTAGATGAATTAATATCATTTTTATTATTAAAAAAAAATGTTAGTTTCAAAATATTTAGAGAACACTTTTTTTTTAAAAATCACTAGAGAACAGTTATCATGACTCATAACACAATAGTTGACACGCTCACGCATACAATTACAATAAACTTTTTTTTTCTTATTAAAAATTTAAATATTTATTATTACTCATGGTTGAAAGAAAAATCTCTCCCAATTAAAGTATGATTTAACACTAAAAATTTTGACATCATAAAAAAAACAAAAATCAATTTATGCATGAATGTATAACGCTTAAACTTAAACGTCTGTTTCCAGTGTCCTTTGAAAGAAAGGCTGATAATTCTTCTAACCTTTTTTATTAGTTTGTCTCTGACTATATATTAAACTGGAGAATTCATGTCCTAAAGAATATTTTAGCTTCCCTTCCTTTATTTTCCAAAGGATCAATGTCTTTCTTATTAAACATATATAGAGAACATTAACACCTAAAAAATAAAAAATAAATGAAATCTATAAAAAAATAAAGAAATGGAATTAAAAAAAATTATTATTGCCCTCATTCCTCAAACTGTCGGTGCTCACCAAAATCTATGTTTTTGAATTATACATTTAATTCAAATTCATTTATTTAATATAGTAGTAATAGAAAATTACAAATAAAATAATTATTGCTAATATAACATATTATTATTATTATTACTAACAACAATATATTTTGTTAAAAAAAACAACAACTAGTGCTGAAGTAATAAAAAAAGTTGTACTTATTAGATGTCATTGAAAATCTACAAATCAATGAAAATGAAAACTGATTATCAAAATCCAAAGAAGGTACATGCATAAATTTTTTTGTCACCTCCATGATGAACCTTACCTGTTACATATAGTGAAACTACCAGCATGCAGGCCCCACTTGATCAGAAGACTCACCGCTACCACCATTGTTTTCATCTTGTGGAGCTTTCTTCTCTTGAACAACAACATTTTCTTCTGGCAAATTCATGTTGTTATTGCTTTCATTCTTTTCAGATTGTAGAACAAGTTTACCTTGATTATAGAGATTGCTCAATAGATGAAAATAAGGACAAGTTCTTGAATCAAGTGACCTTTTCCTATTAGCATTATCCTTTGTTTTTCTAAAATACTTGTTTATGTTCTCCCACTTCTCTTTGCACCTCTTTGCGCTTCTCTTGTATCCTAACTCCAACATCCCTTGTGATATTCTCTCCCAAAGTGGTGCTTTGTTGGTGTGGTTGTTGTTTCCTTCCTTTTCTTCATTGTTGTTGTAATTGCACCTCAAGTTTATCAATGCCAACACTTCATCTTTTGGCCATCTTCTACCAATATCTTCTTTCTCGCCGCCGGTATATTTGCGAGGTTGAGCCAAAGTAGTAGAAGAAGAAGGATGAGTTGAGCTAGGGTTTTCAGATGTTGGTTGAAGAGTTTTGTCATGAATTTCAGGATTAGGGTTTTGTGAGTGCAATGTGGTAGAATTTGAGAAATTTTTAGGTGTAATTATTACCTTGGATTTGTCTTGTTTTCCGATTTCAATGCTTTGAATTGAAGCTAAAATGGAAGAAGAATTTGTAGTTGATGAGAATTTGTTCAAGAACTGAATTATATTGGCTTGTCTATCACCAGCAATAGCTTGTTCTTGTGCCATCAACTCAAGCTCTTTGTTCATTTTCTCCATCTCTTGTTTCTTCCAAGCTTCCTCTCTACTATACTTCTCTTCATCTCTTTTAATCATATCCTCAATAAGCTTGTTATGCATCTCTTCTTGTTGATCCATCATTTTCTTCACAACACTCTCACAAAAACCCTTGAACACTTCAAATCTATCACCACCTCTTTTCCTCTTCTTCTCATCATTTCTAGTACTTCTCTCAAACACCTCATCTTCATCTTTCTTCATCACCAAAACCTCGTCGCTTCTCGAATCATCGTCATTCGATTCACTCCTCATCTTGTCTTGCTTATTCTCACCACCACCACCTTGATAAAGCTCTTCAAGTTCGGTAACAAACCGAAAATTCTTACCGTAATTATTCTGATTCTGATTCGGATTCTGATTATTATTATTATTACTAATGTTGCTGAAAAATCTACTTTCTTCTTCAAATTTCTCTTTGCATTTCTCTGCACTACGTTTAAATCCAATCTCAGCTAGCTTCCTGCACACACCATAAGTATATAAATCCAAAACAACAATCAAGCATAAAATAAAAGCAATTAATTACCCCCTCTCTCTCTCTCTCACACACACACTCACAATCGTCTTCAATACGTAGCAATAATACTAATAGACAAAATCTGTTGGTGTTTCTCTCGATGTGAGTGTCTCGTAGTGTCAGTTTCTCTATGAGCTGAATTGAAGGTGCACGTGTGCCTTTGTCTTCCACATCACTTTTTTTCAAAAATAATCTCATATTCTGGTAAACTAGTTATAATTTACAATTATACAAGGAAATTAGTTAAAGAGATGATTATATATACCTTGATACGTGTTCCCAGGTGAAATCTGGGAACCAATTCTCCATGTTGGATCTGATCTTCAAGAGTGCAAGAACCTCGTCGTTAGTCCAAGGATCGACGAGTTGAGGTAGTATTTGTCGTTGATCTCTTTCAATTTGGAAGTTGTTAATTGAAGGAGTGGTTTGTTCTTTTTGTTCATCTTTGTTGTTGTGATGGTGTAATGGGTGCAAGAGATTGTTTGGTTGAAGTTGGAGTGTTGGTAATTGATGATGATTATAAGGATCAAAAGTGGGAAAGGTGTTGTTGTTGTTGTTATTATTTGGTGTTGTTGAAAGAGGGAAAGGTAAATGAAGAGGTAGTGATGAAGAAGAGGTTCTTGGAGTTATGAATTGGTGGAATTGGTCTGGGACTCCATCAAACATGTTTGTGTTTTGTATGTTAAAGACTAAAGAGCACACACACACTCTCTTTTACTTTGGTACTATCTTTTGAATTCAATTCATATGCTCAGTGTCAAATAAATCAGCATAATGTAATCTAAATGTTATGCAACTTTACAAAAACTCTATATTTCTCTCTCTTATTTTGTCTCTGCCTCTCTCTATCACGTTTATCAAAAAAATTGTCCTTGTATAGAAGGGAAAAGATTGCACACCACCACACCCTTTTAGAAGAAAGTGAATTCACTACCCTAACTCGTTACTATATTCTATGCATGTGTGCTATTTGGATCTAGGTTTGGAGTATGTATCTCCACCGTTTGATTGAGATTTGAAAGTTTTTTAATGAAAAATGTTTAGCTTAAAATCTAGAAAGCTGATTTTGATTGGACGACAAAGATACATGTGACTACTGCACATAACACCTATATGATAAACACATTACATTGGACATTGTTTCATACACATGAATAAAAACACTAGTTGTAAAATTTAAATTCAATCAAATTCAAACTTATAAATTTGAATGTATGAGGGATGATTGCCCACTATTTATAATTATTTCTGTGAAAATTATATTCAATGTATATGATTTATAATAGTATCTTATTCAATAAATTTTAAAAGTTAAATTTATTTATAATAAAAAATATTTTTTTTTGATTTAGGATAAAACATCTAAAATGTGATCAAAATATCTTAATAGATCCAATGAATTTAGATAGACTTTGATATCATTTAGTTAGAATATAACATCATTCGTTTTATATTATCTTTATCTTAAATTTTACAGCTGTATGTTAAAAATATATCATATTATATTATATAAAAAAATTATATCATTTTCATATATAATTTTTCAAAAACTTTCATATTTAATGAATTTTAAAAGTTAAAATTTATTAATAATAAATTATAATAAAAAATATAGTATATTTTTAAGATTTAAGATTGAACATCTAGAACGTGATAAAAATATCTTTACAAATTTAATTAATTATCGATAGAATTTGATATCATCTTGTCAGAATATAACACCATTCAATTAATATCATTTGTTCTTAAACATTACTACAGTTGTATGTTAAAATCTTATATTATATAAACAATTATTTTAATATATGATTTTCATATAATTTTTCAAAAACCTTCCTATTTAATGAATTTTAAAAGTTAAAATCTATTTATAATAAATTATAATAAAAAATTAAAACATTTTTTTAGATTTCTATAACATAATCAAAATATCTTAATAAATCAATGAATCGTGATTAAATTTTGACATCATCTAGTCAGATTAGATTCATATTATCTTATCTTAAGTATTACAGTTGTGTTTGAAGAATCTTATATTATTTAAAGAATTACTTAAATATATAATTTTCACATGTAATTTTTCAAAAACTTCCATATTCTATACGCAATAAATAAAAAAGGGATTTTCTTAAACAAGTCAATCAAGCCACGTTAGAAATAAAAAGCTATATTCATTGCATTTCACTCATTTTCTTTTCTGTTTTGAAATAAAATCCAAACTTGTCTTTATCGTATAGTATATTCCACATCCTTCTCTTCTAATGAAGAAATTTAGCTTAGTTATATTATATGATGTGTATAAGATATGGTTGGAGATTGAAGAAAAGGCGCGTGGAGGATGAGTGAGTAGTGAAATGAGAAAAAAATAAAAATGAAAAAAACAATAATGGTTGGTTTGTGAGTGGGGCATTCGAATCCTATGCAGTAGCTGATGGTCATGATGGTGTAATAAACGGCATAAGAATGGCAGGACACGTGAAAACATGCAGAGAATGGGACCAATTATTTATTTTAAGGATGGGAATCTTCACATGGTACAAAACTATACAGTGCCTATACTACTACACTTACACACTACTTCATCCCAGACCCCCCCTCCCCTCCCTCTCTCTCTTTCTCTTATCTCTCTAACCTTATTTATTGGGCCTACTATTACATCTTTATTTTTGGATCTAACTACACCAACAATAAGAATATTTCCCCCCACTTTTTAGGATTTACTTTCCACTCTAAATCCTTTCATCAATCTTTCTATCATTTTTTAGAAATTTTGTTTGCCCTTTTTCTTGTTAAAGTTTCTCTTTACATTTCATTTGCTTATATACAAAGTTAACTATTTAAAAGTAGTTGACAATCTCGCTATAAATTGATAAGTAAATAAAAAACAATTGAGTTTTTTTTCCAGCCGATCCAATTAGTTCATAAAAATTGAATCTAATCAAATTGATTCAAGTTCGATTTCAGATTTCAGATCAACATAGTAGATATATTGGCCTTCAGATCAATATAGTGATCGACCAATTTAGTAATACGGAGTTAAAAATAAATTGATAAATTTAATAAATTCATTTAAATGTAGTTAGATATGTGTTAGATATAGTTAAAAACCTAAATTGAGTATACTAGAGTTACCATATTAGAAGTGAAATAAGTTAAAAGATGGAAGCCATCATCGCATATATAATTGAAGGTGATCTAATATATGGTTACCAAATTGTTAAAGTTATGTGTGAATGGGGGTTGAGTTTAAGGTTAAAGATAACTAAAAGGAAAGAAAAGAACAAGGTTTTTGTGTGTACGGAAGAGGGTGGGGTAAGTGATGTAAGTTGGAAGTATTAACCAGCTTGCAATGAGTTGTAGAAAGAGATATGTCATTTTCTTATTGTTACAACTTACATATGGGCTAAATAATTTCTCAGCCCTTTGTACGTCGTTCGTTGCCTGCCAATTTTCTCTTTACTTTTTGAGTTTTGACCCACTTGATTCAAAGCTGGAAATAGTACCAATATTCATAATAACACTCATCTTGGAGGTGTATTTATTTTTTAAAAATATTTGGTAAACACTTATACACCCGAATCACCACTTAAGAGTGAAAGAAATTGAGAGATTACTATTAATGAATGAGGAAGTAAATTTTATCGAAGAAAAATGTAATAAGAAAAGATCGATTTTTATCTTCTCGTTCATAAATCCGACTCTCTCATAAATTATTGTTTTATGTGGAATGTGTTTTTTTTTTGTAGGAATCAGAGATAGTTGGTGAAGTGATGAAATGAAGTTCAGATACGATAGACGAGTCTTCTGGTGCAGTGGATTGGATTTCTGGTGCGGTGGAGAGGGGATAGACTTGCAAGGTTATACTCAAACGCTTAAGTCAGTGAATGAGCGAAAAATAATTTCAAAGTGAGAAAGAATTGAATACATGAAATGGCGTGATATGGTCTTTATATAGTATGACTAACTAAAATTGTCTGCGCGTGATTCAGCGCCTTGAGTATAGGTTGTCGTTTGATTAGATCCAACAATAAGAAATATGATGAAGGGTGTGATTGTGTGTCCTCGTCAAGGATGGAGTCTACATGTTCATTGCACCTTCTTATTCAACACTTGTTAATTGTCCTTGTTCACGGGTGTGATACGGTGGGAGAACTGACTTGAGGGTTTTGCGTTTGATCGCAAATGTTGCGGTTTAGCAAGAGTCGCCACCGACTTTTCTTTTATCCAAAAGGAAAGGTGAAAAAGCACAGGAAAGACCTTTGAGATTTGTTTCTTGAGTTCGGGGGGTAGATTATGAAAAGGAAATGTATTAGCACCCTTTTCATCCATGGTTTTCTATGGGCTCTTAGTTACTTGCTAGATCACTTGCTTTTGTTTGAAAAATATGCTTTGTATGGTTTTTTTAAAGTATTTTGAAAAGGCGCCATCATTTAGGTAAACTTTGTAATAATTCTCGTTCGTAAGAATGTATACAAAGTGTTGATCTTTTGAAAATATTTTCGATTTTGAAAGGTGTTTTGAAAGTGTTGGTGTTTGTTTTGAAAATAGCAAGGATGTTTTTGGTTTGAAATTGAGCAAGTAACTAGGAACATTCTACCTACTCAAAAGTCTTCCATGTTCATTTTCTTTTCCTTTGAAATTGTTGTCTTACCATTGATTTGGTAAACAACCTTATCTTTGGATGTAAACGGGATGGGCGTGGGTCATCGTATAGCCATGATTAGCAATGTTGTAAGGTATCTTAGCATTTTGAGGGACTAAGATCATTTTTGTAAGGCAACTTTGAATAGCGTCATCGAGGTACTATGATCTTGTATTTCGATTGGTTTTGCTAAGACACTCCACATGCGTAACATGACCATTTTTTTAGACAACAAGTGGAGTTAACCTTAAGGGTGCTAGTGTGCAAGTATATTTGATTGCATGAATTTTAGTCTTGATTAGGGTGATCTATTTGTTGATTTCATGTCTTGCCATACACACCCTAATTGCTAGCATTTACATTCAAAAGCGATAAATTGCAGAAATGTAAAATTCTACGCTATTACAATATTTCAGGGATGGGGGTGTACAAACTTACAAACGGGGGTTGCAAATAAAATTAAGTCCTAAGTTACTATTACAACCATATTGAATGGATAAGAATGTACAAGAAATGTAAAATGGACTTGTTCTTGTAAAAAAGGAAATAAGTTTGGTTTGAGAAAACATTTTTGATCTTTTTGTTTTAAGAAATAAAGTAAAACATGTAAAAATGAAAAATGTCTTTGGTATTTTTTTTTATTAATGAAATAAAAAATGATAGCAAAAGTAGTGAGGAAAAAGAAAGTAGAATCAGCGTATTGCTGACTAAAGGAGGTCAGAAGTTCTGACTCTGACGTACTGCAAAACAGATATCCTATTAGTGAAAAAATAGGTAAAGTCAGAAGTTCTGGATCCGCTGAGAACAAAGAAAATTTCAGAAGTTCTGATACCACTGACAAAATTTGGTCTCCCTCTTCATGCTAGTCAGAACATCTGCAACTTGGTCATTTCTCAACAAAACAGAAGATGCGCATATGACAGTTATGGCAGGTTTCATAGTGTTTCAGAAACAAGAAATATCAGAACTATAAATCAGAGGCAAGCATGAATTTGCTAATCCTAATTCTGAGTTCTAATTTCTT